TTTCCCTTCTCCATCTGCCGGGCACGCGGGGAGCTTGCAGTGCGCGGGCAGGAGGCCGGGGACGCGGCTGGCGCGCTCGGGGGCAGCATGCAACAAGGCTGCGCGTCTGCCCCGCGCGCTGGCTTGCTCTGCGCTGCTCTGCCCAGTGTGCTCTGCACCCCTGCCGAGCTGGCTCTTCCCAGGGCCCTGGCACAAGCCGGGCTCTCTGGAATTCTCCAGCTAATTCTCAGATATCCTTGAAATTGCTCCCGAGCGCGTTGACGACTGCTGCATGCCTTGCTCCAAGCGTGGGGCCCAAGCCCAAGCTGTGAACAGCAGGGAGCCGCCTCCCTGCAGCTCCCGCAGGCAAAACCCTGGGTGCAGGGGCCAGGACCGTGCTGCACTCGCAGCGGGACCTCGTTCCAGGAGCTCCTTCATGTTGCTGGGCTGCGAGGGCGCTCCCAGCCCGGCCCGGCCCATGCCCGTGTGTCTCTCTGCAGTGCTGCCACCCCGGCCCGTGCCCGTGTGTCTCTCTGCAGTGCTGCCACCCCGTCCCGTGCCCGTGTGTCTCTCCATGGTGCTCCTGGCCCGCCCCGTGCCCGCGCTCTCCTGGTGCCCGGCAGGCGGGTGATGCCGGCGCTTGGCCGCGCGCAGCCCCGTTCCGCAGACGCGGCGCTCTGCCCGCCCTGGCAGAGCTTCGGTTCCCCTGCACTGCACTCAGGTGCTCTTACTGCTCCCTTGACGAGTAGGGGTCTCTCCTCACAACAAACCTCCATCCACGTTCCAGCATCTTCTCAGTCTACATTTTGTCTAGGTTCTCAAAGCGCCTGCGAATCGCAGCTGGTTGTCCCCATGTCCCCTCTGCGCGGCTGGGCACTTCAGTGACCCTACGGCTGGATCTGCACGAAGGCTGTTTCAAATCTTTTTGCGTTTTATTTTTAAGGACATTAACAATAATTCAGACTGAAATCCGAGCTGAAGGGCAGAGCTGAACCCAAGGGTCGGGGAGTTCCAGCCCTGGCGCTGCAGAGGCCCGTGGCACTTGGGCCACCGGGCTGGGAGCCACTCCGGGCACGTCGCTGGCCTGGCGCTGGGCTGCAGAGCTCCCTGCTAACGTGACCCTCTCTTGTCTTTATAGCTGAATCCTTCAAGGAGTTTGCAGAGCTGCTGCAGGAAGTAGAGCTTGAGAGATCCATGATGGTAAGTTGATGCTAGCTGTGCTCTGGTCACGAGTGCCTGGCTGTAAAGTTTAATGCTAAATCATAGCCAAAATGTACCAAGGAGCTTTGGGACAGGGTTTGCATCATCTGGAAGCTGGGAGCTTGGCAGACCTTGCACTTTCTGTTCTCTGTGATCTGCCTTTGCTCACAGTGTGTCCTGCACATTCCGGAGGTGCCGGAGGGCAGGGGACGGGTGGTCCCTTGCGGTCCAGGGCTCTCCATGTGTCCCGGCTCATTTCCCCAGGAGGATCCCAGGCTCATTTCCCCGACTGGCAGATCCACACGTGACAAACTGCTTTTACAGGGAAACAAAATGTTGGGAAATGGGAAGGCACGAGCATTTAGCCCCGTTTTCCCCTGTGTGAGTGAGCGGTTCCCCTGCGTTCCTGTCCACAGCGTGCGGTTCCTGCTGTCTGTCTCCCATTACCTTGTGCCCTCTCTGTCTCCAAAGCTCCTCGATACACAGGGAATGTTGGCTTTCCATTTCACTCTTCATTCCAGGAAAAACATGAAGGTTGGACGCGTTAGGGACCTTCTACAGCATGCCAGGGATCAGCTGCTGCTTGTCTCGCTTTGCTGTGCAGCAGGACGCCCTGTGCAGTGAGATGCTCTGCGCAGCGGGACGCTCTGTGCAGTTACATCCTGGGTGCAGCAGCCCTTCTGAGGTGGCAGGAGGGATGAGGGGATCTGGAGAGTGGCTAAGGCTCTTCATGTCCCAGGTGCTAGGGATGCTCTATGGTTTCTCATAGTCTTTTCTTCTGCTCTCCGTTTGCCAGGCCAGTCTCTTTGCCAGAAATAAGCAGACCCGGGTGTCTCGGCTGCGTGGGCTGCAGCCCTGCCTCCCTGCTCTGCCTCTGCTGAATAGCTCCAAGCCCGAAAGTCTCTCGTTATCTCAGAGCCACCAGACCCGCTGTCCTCTGTCCTCAGAAATGGCAGGCTCTGCCCCTGCCCTTGTGGGAAGCCTTGGCCAGCGCCCAGCCCTGCTCTGCTGCCTGCGCTCGGGATGGCCACGCTGCCCCATCCACGGGAAGCCCCAGCGCACAGGGTCGTGCGAGCCGCGGTCCTTGGGTGAGCGACCTCGGCTCGGCGAGCTCGGGAAAGCAGCTCCGCCAAGGACCCTGGCAGCTGCTTTCCAGGAGTGCGCTCACCAAGCACGAGCGTCTGCTCTGCTCACTTGGGAAGGCTGGGACTGGGGTCCCTGCAGGCTCTGGGGTCACCTTTGCCCCGTCGTGCTGCCTGTGCTACCAGGGTGGGCAGGGTGGCTCTGCAGGGACCAGCTGAGCTGAAGTAAGAGGCAGTCTCCAGAGCGTGTCTAAAACAGTGTTTAAAAATAAAAATGTTCCACTTGGTGCTTCCCACAGAGGTAAACTGAGTGCCTTGCCTGTGTGGGGACCTTGGGGACACTGTGGCCTGTGTTCCTGGAGCACCCGTTCGCACCAGCACTGCCATGTACTGGGTCAGTCCCCCACGGGGCGAGCGGGAACTGCGTCCCCTGTGCAGCAGCGGGGGGATCCTTCAGGCTGCCCCTCAACCACGTGTTCCTGCATAAAGAGAAAAGAGCACAGAGAAAGGAGCAGAGACTTGCAGCTAAAATGCCATTACAGTTTAGGGTTCTTGGCTTTTAGGCCTAGCCAGCCTCTGTAGAAAACTGTTGTGTCCTGTAGTTAAACTGATTCCTTCTCCATGCCGCAGGTGCAAAACGCCAGTGATCTGCTGATCAAACCTTTGGAAAATTTTCGGAAGGAGCAAATAGGGTTTACTAAGGTAAACATTGTTTTTTTAATTCTGTTACTGTATATGGATTTTCTGCTGCTTTTTTATTGTTTTTAGAAAGTGCAAGTGTTGTATTGCACTTGGACTTTCAAACCTCTTTCAAACCCCAGCGTGAAAGAGTCTGTGCTATGACTTCTAGTCTGATTTTCCAATCATGAGGCACTCCAAAACCTTTTCCTTAATTCTCTGGGTTCTGTTCTGGTCTGATTCCAGCTTTTTCTCTTTCCTGAAAAAGTAATGCCTGTTTCTGCAAGTGATCAAGAAACACTCCTTACTTCCTTCTCTGTCTTCTCCCTTGCTCATTCAATGTTATGCATTTCTAACTTGAGAATAGGATACTTTTCCCACACAAACATGTGTGGGAGGGAGAAAGAATCGTAGAAGCCAGTAATCAGGACTTGATTACGGCCATAGGTTTGTGTTAGGAAATACCTAAATAAAGTCTCTCGTAAGCCTTTCAGATGGACCAAACTTCTAAAGCAACAAACTGTAAAAAGCAAGTCCTGCACATGTTGAGCAGAAAGGATTATCTTTTCCCTTTTCTGCCATCAAGAAGTCAAGGTTCCACGTTGCTCAGCAGCAGCTTGAAACGGGCCTGGCTCTGACCCAGCTCCGAAAAGATGTTTTGGAGAACACTTAGAGCTTTGGATTCAGCCCAGCCCATCTGGAGTCTTCGACATTTAATGAATCCTGCATTAAAGAAGCGTTACTCGAGCACTGTTTCTCCCTTCAGAGCTCCTTGCACAGCCGTGATGCAGACTGTATCTGTGAGCACGTCCCGGCTCCGCTGCGGCGTCGCATGTGCCACGCGCTGCTGCGCTGGCTGCAGGAGGGCAGCAGCAGGCGCAGGCAGCTCCGCGCGCAGCCCGGGTGCCGGGGAGCAAAGCTCCTTCCTAACGGAGCCCTCCGTATCGGAGCACAACCAACAGATACTTAGGTAGGAGGCACGGGGACAAGGTCAAGCTTTTTTTCCTGCTCCGTGTGTATAGAACAGGGGTCCCTCGGGCTGTTTGCTTGAGCTAACCCTCGTGGGCAGGAAGGGTTAATTTTTCTGCCAACTAGCTCTCTGCTCGAGCACCCAGCCCACCTCCTGGATGTGGATGGAAGGACCAGCCACCGTGATGGAGCTGCCCGTGCCCCAGCTTCTGCGTGTTTCCTAGCACGGTGGGTGTCTGTAGCCCCGAGCACTGACGTGGATTCCCTTGGAAACACAATCCTTCCTCAGAATCTGTTGGCAGGATAAGGTAGTTCTAGTGGATGTTATCAGTCCAGGAACTTGCATTCCCCTTTCCAGAAGCAGCTGAAACAGGTAGTGGAGAGAAGGATTTGACTGTAGGCTTCTTGTTTTCTCTCCATTTTGAGGAACGTGAATTGCAGAGGTGTTCGGGAGCAGCTCAGTGAGCAGAGGGCTGCAACGTGGGTTAACTCCCTCCCGCCGAGGAGGGTGCAGGAGAAGGAGCCGCGCTCCAGCACGTGTCCTGCTGCACATCCCAAAGCGTGCAGGAGATGGCACGGGGGTGGAACGCTTTCTCTGCAGCGCTGTTCTGAATCTTTGCAGGGGTGTGAATGTTTCCAGATGCGGCTGAGTCAGCTCCAAGCCCCTGCCCTTGCTTCTGAGGCTTTCCTCACTAACGCCTGTATTTACACTGCTGGCCCCAGTCCTACAAGCTGGGCTGAGTTCTCCCGAGTATCAACTTGGGCACAAAGACGTTCATTCATCCGCCATCTCACAGAATTCCTCCAGGAAATTTGCATCCATGCTAGCAGAAGGCATGAAACACAGTGAGGCCTTATCACAACACGCAGTTAGCAGGGGTCCGATGGCCCCGTTCCTGCCTTGGCCCCCTGATTCGCCTGACCCGAGTCCAGCTCTCCCTACGTCACGGCAGGGCAAGAGCGGCCAGGGCCAGCCTGGCACGCAGGCCACAGACATGACACAGGGAATTTGTCCTCTCTGATGTCTTTCCCATATTTGCCAGTCGCCTCTGTAAGATGCTTTCTGTCCTTTCTGCAAGTTGCTGAAGCCAGATAGGAAGAGCGCTTCAATGGGGTCTTTGTGATGACTGTGGCTGGCGAGCAGCCGGATGGTCCGACGCGGCATCTGCGTGTGCCCGTTTTCCTGGCCATGAATGAGGCCCTTGGGCGCCGCGGTGCTCACGGGACGTCACAGCCCTGGTGCCCCCCGGGCCACGCTGTCCCCGAGCTCCACGTCCCCTGCGCTTTTGCTGTTGCCTGTGACTTGTCCAGCTCCCTGCAATGCTCCTGGCAGGCAAAACGTGTTTTGTTTTGTCTTTTCCTTCAGAAGAAATATAGCCGCTTGAGCTCAGCTCCTTGCTTTCTGGGTCACTCTGCCTCTTCCAGGATGGGGGTTTCATAGGATTCTAATTAGGAAGAGGAAGTTTTGTGCCGGTCAGTTTGCCCCTGCGCGGGCCTTGGCTGCTCCGTCTCGGCTCCACCTGGAGCGGAGCCGCTTTGCAAGGCTCCTCCTGTAGCCAAAGGTGCCGCTGCATCGATGCCTCCCTGCTGGTCCTGGGAGTCCTGTTCCGCTCCGGCTCACGGCCTCTGCTGCGCTCCGGAGCGAGGCTCTCCAGGGCAGCCTCCCGCGCGGGCGCGTGCTCCCCTGCAGTCCCCTTTGTGGAGGGGCCTTGGGTGGCTTCGAGCACTGGCACAGCTGGGTGGAAGGTGATGCTGTCCCTTGCGGAATATTCATGAGGAAGCCATTTGTGCTGTGTTTGCAGATTGTGCTTCGGGCTTTTTTTCCCCCCCATCTGGCTCTGTTCTGCAGCCAACAGGCTCTTAGAAACCTTGGCTCCACAAGCACGTGGGATTTGTAGTTCATCCCTCTGCTTTGCAGTTATGTGTCAGCGAGGCAGAGTGCGGGATGGCAGAGCCCTTAGCTGCCAGCAGCGCCCTTTGCACCCGCTGTGCCGGGCTGGGTGCTGATGCCCCGGGGTGCCCGGCGCCTCCTCCCGTGGCACGAGGGGCTCTGTGCTCACGGGTGCCCGTGGTGCAGGGCTGCCTCCTTCCCCGGGAGCTGGGGGTGTGGGGCTGTGCAGGGCGCCAAAGCCTTGGCCTTTCCTGATCCTCCTTGTGAACATGACACTGGGATGAGGTTCCTGGCCCTGCTGCATTTGGCATCTAGTAACCAGAGAGGCGACTCAAACTGTGACTCTATAGACACAATAACTGCCCCTTTGTAAACACTTTTTGCTTCTCTGGACGTGGCTTTGCTCATCGCCGGTAACAGTCACAAGGGTTTTGTTTTGTTTTGACAGCTCTTCCTGGCATCGGTTCTTCAGCTTCTTAAATTAGGTTTCGCTCTCAAAGGACTCTCTTCTCTTTTGGACTTGATGACTGGGTCTCTTTATTCTGAGGCTTGAATTTGCCAACAGGGAGCATCAGCAAGTCTGATACTCCAAAGGACGACACCAGAAAAATATACTTAATTATTCACGTTCAGGAAATTTATCATTGCAGCATTTCTGCAGAGCACTAATTTCTAATTACCGGGGTAAATAGGTTTGCTGGTCTCAGTCTGCCCATCTTGAGGGTTAAACACCAGCAGCTGAGCAGAAGGGTCCTTGGGGCACCCTGCAAACGGTACTGCGTTTTCTGAAGTCCTTGTCCTTGGACAATAGCATGGGCAAAGATTATAGGAACAGCTTTTTTGTGGGATCTGAAATACCCTTTGCAGGGAGGCAGTTAGTAATAACACTAGTGCCCCCTTTGTGATCCGTGAAGAACCAGCATCCACAGCACGAGCTGGAATTCCAGGGATCAGCTGCTCCTTCCGAGGAGGCCGGAGTTGCTGTTCCCAGGTGGAGGTCTGAGCTGGGGTTGTGCTCGAGACCCTCTGCCCTTCCCTGATGGATGCTGTCCGAGATGGGTAACACAGGACCTGTGTGTCTTGGCATCTGAAAACATCCAGGATTCGCATACTACCAGTGTCTGCTTGTGTGTGCGTACCCGCTGGAAAAGAACGGCTCCTTTTCCAGAGGGAACGCAGCAGCAGCTCTGCTGAGTCTCATTTCTCCAAGTACTGCAGGACTATCGATTTTTCAAGAAGGGCATCATCTTTCTGAAAGCCTTTGTCCATTGCTACCAAGCTGTCCGTAGTGGCCTCTGTTTCCCAGTGCCCCAGAACGGAGCTCGGAAGCCGCAGGCCCTGGCAGGGGCTGCCCCTGCAGCGCCTGCTCCTGCTGCTCGGAAGGGAGGATGAGCATGCAGGAACCTCCCCGAGCCCCACTGAGAGCCCCTGCACGTCCTCTGCACCGAGCATCCTGCTGGACACACCAAGTAATCTATGGAAGTGCAACAGGGAAATGAAACTGCACAGAAAGGGAAGTAGCAGAAGAAACAGGGAAGGGCTTATTTAGGAAACACAGGCTCAAACTTTGCAGTTACTCTTGAATTCATTATCAGATTAACCAGCATCAAATTAACCAAATAGTCTACTGATCCCCTCTGGTCTGTTTTGCTTATTTTTAGTGTTTCTGGTGTGTGTTGGCTTATTTGGAAATTTCCGTGTTGTTCGGTGATGTGGGCAGCTCCCTCCAACGTGTTCCATGAGCCCGGAGCTGCCGGTGTCCCCGTCGCGCTGCAGCTTGTGGCTGTGCGCGGGCTCAGGGCTGCGCTCCCGCTGCGCGGGCAGAGGGGCTGCCACGCTTCCCAGGCACTGATCCTGGCCACAGCGAATCCTTGCGTCGGACAACTAACCTGGCGTTCCATATGAAGAGTCTGCTCAGGGCCTCGGCTCAATGGGAAATGTTTCTCTGAGAAAGCAAGCAATAGGCCAGTGTTTTCCTGCAAAGGAGTGGGAGGGCTTTTTAGGAGTTATTTCTTTAAAAATGTTAATTACACAACATTTTCGGGTTTCTTAGATTTGTGTTCCACTTGCTTGAGCCTTCAAAAACTAGACACCGGTGTTTTGGCACCCTATGCACATGCTGCAGTATGTACAAGCTCCTTCTCAGCTGTTCGAGCTGCTATTGAGGCCTCTCTGCCTGGAATTTTCCTTGCTCTGTTAATAGAACCAACTCTCGGCTATAGTTGACGGTTCAGTCACCCACTATCAGGAGCATTTGTCTACTTGGCTTGTAGCTTCTTGGCTTCTTGTAGCTTCTTGGCTTCTATAGATCATAGCTTCTTGCTCATCATAGGCCCTTGTGGTTTCACAGCCATCCTGAGGACCAGCAGAACTGGAAGGTTCTGCGCTCAGCTCCTCCCCGGGTTTTCTCCTAATGTTTCATTCTCAAATACATCTTTTTGCTCTCGTTCTAGACGTTTTCCCTTTTAGATTTGCCAAGGCAGATATTTTTGTTGCTGGTTCCATCACAGTCCCGGTCTTTGCTGACCAGTCGCCGTATCGTGTCTGAGGTGTAGACTAGCTCGGGGTGAACCATAGCATCTGTGGGGCCCTCCAGGATCTTCCCCACTGTCTGCTCTGTTACAAATGTGATGCCTAGTGAAGCATTCCCCCGTGCCATAGTCACACCGAGCACTGCACAGTGTAATTTATACACATAATTTATACATACATGTAATTTATGCATATTTTGCCTGCAAGGTTCATGATCTCTGTTCTCACCACTGCTAATGAAGAGATGACGAGTTCCTTCCCACATATCACCGTTAGTGTTTTGCTTTCCTTCCGATACATTTCAGAAACAAATGATAAAAGCTTCAAAACAGAAAAATTGCCAAACTCCTTTTCTTATCCTGCACATCTTTGGCATTAAATTACTTACCTAATTATTTTTGAACTAAGAGAACAGCGCATTAGCAAATGATGAATATTTTATTCATGTTTTAATATGTGTCAAGTTTACTTGACATTGAGGAGGCTGATAGGTAGAACAACTCCTCTTCTGTGGGGCTTGCAGCACAGTGGTGATAGGAGGAAATATTTAGAGTTCCTGTGCCATGGAGTATTGCCAGTGCTTACTCCCTGGAAGTAACTGAATCCCCATGTAAGAAGCTGACTAGTGAAAGGAGCAAATGAAAAGCCAGCTCCTGTTTTGATGGCTCCACCACTACTTTTCCATGAGAATACTGAATTACAGAGATCTTGGCATTGCCATGTTGTTCTTATCTTGAAGATACCAATGACTGGTTCTGTTTCAACTGGTTCATTTACAGGAAAGGAAGAAAAAGTTTGAGAAGGATGGTGAGAAGTTTTATTCCATGTTGGATCGCCATTTGCATTTGTCCTCTAAAAAGAAGGAATCCCAACTGCAAGAGGTGTGTATGGAGTTTGGGGGGGGGTCCAGAAGCAGCAATCCTGGCTGCTCTAGTTTTAAAAGCCAGGCGCACACCCGTTCAGACGGGAACGCATCAAAGCAGAGCTGTCAGACCAGCTGTCAGAGCAGGTTGAAGCATCTTTGCAAGTCAAAGTTTGCTTAGCCTTTGTAACACTGAATGCCACGTCTTCCTGCTTAGTCATGTGGATCTGGAAATGCTGGTGTCAGGTCACAGGAGGTCACAGATCTGAGAAAAATGGTCGGCATTTCTTTGTGTTCTCTGTGGGACTTCAAAACCTGCAATGGACAGACTGGGCAGGCTTTTTCCAAAGTGAGGACAGAATGATCTGGGGGCTGGCAGACAGATACTTCTCAAATATTGTCAAGCTGGATGTGATTTTTTTTTCACTTCTTCCTTCTTTTTCCAGGCTGACCTCCAGGTTGACAGAGAGAGGCACAATTTCTTTGAGTCCTCCCTTGAGTACGTGTACCAGATCCAGGAAGTACAGGAAAGCAAGAAATTCAGTATTGTCGAGCCGGTAGGAGCTCCTCTTCTTTCTGTTCTTGTTGTTGCACCCTCGGACACTCTGACCTGCTACAGGAGCAGGCAGGGGTGAGTTACCCACTCGGGTTCAGTCCTGAGGAGGATTCTTGCTCCGGTGAGGCAGAAGTTAACCTTGTACACCTGGATTGCTGCCACCTGGGCAACCTTGGCGGTGCCTCGTCAAGCACCAGGAAGCCCCAGGGCTGCCCCTCGCCTATGTAAGTCAGACAGAGAAGCAGGTCGGGACTAGAAGGGCCCGTGAAGCCCCGTGCTGCCGAGTGAGCGGCTCTGCCCAGCGCAGGGCGCTGAGCGCAGCAGCAGCAGGAGCTCCCCAGCACTCTGCCCTGCTGCCACGCTCAGGGTTTTGCTGAGGCAGAGAGTGTGTTTATGGGAGGTGGACCAGGGCTTTATGGAGCAGTAGGATCAATAAGTCATATAAGATTCATGTCACTCACCTCCAGAATTGTAGGAGAAAGTGTAGTTTTACATGTAATTTTTGAAACCCTGCTTCACCCCTATCTTTTTTTCTGCTTATAAATTTAGAAGAAGAATTTAACCTTTCCCTTCTTTGCAGGTGTTGGCTTTTCTCCACAGCCTCTTTACGTATAACAACCTGACAGTTGAACTCACACAGGATTTCCTTCCTTATAAACAGCAGCTTCAGCTCAGCCTGCAGAATGTAAGTTCCTGCTCAGCTCAAAGCTTTTTTTTCCATGCAATTTCTATTCTTGCTTGTATTTAAGATGCCTCTGGTGGAAAGACTTTCCATGGAAGATGGATTGATCATGTCTATTGAGGGAGATGGGGGGAAGTTACCTTTTTCTTAAGTGGCACGTGCATTTTCTTTCTCCTGCAGAGGAGAGACTGCAGGTGCACTAGAATGTTCTTCAGAAACCACAGAGTCCAGCCAGAGGGGCTATTAGGATTGTGTTGTTTAACCCTGTGCATAAACTAGCATGCATATTTCTGCCAATAGCTCTTCTGTTACGTTTTCATGTGGTTGAAATTTTATATGACTTTGAAAAAAGTATCCGAACTTGAAGTTAACAGCATCAGCTTACAACAGCTTTGGTAAGCTGTTCTGCTGGCTAAGTATACTCATGGGATGAGGAAACAGTCTTGTTTTGTCTTTTTTTTTTTTTTCCTTACCCTTCGCCATCTTTCAAGGCTGCCCTTCCTTTGTGTGGAGCAGCAGATATAAATCAGTTCAAAGCCAAGTTTGCTGCTGACTCACTAACTGCTGCAAGTTGTATTCGCAGCAACGCCTTGACTTTGTACCGTGTGTTGCCGTGACTCTGATAAAAATTATTCCATGCCAGTTATTGTGACATGATTCTTAGAGGAATTGATGCCCCAAGTTTAAAGGAGAATACACCTATTATCTATATAATAATGCAAACAGGAATTCAGATGCTTCCTCCTCCACCTTACCTTGGAAGTGTTGTGTTTCAGCTATTTAAAGAACAAAGGTCTCTTCCCTGTCACGATTCCTCAATGTTTCTGTGTGCAGAATGTTAAACCTTGTCTCTTCAATGATTTTCAAGAGCCTAGTTTTCTTATAGCTTGAATTTTCATGTCATCCAGATTTTGTACACTGGGGATAATGCATTTTTGCCAGAGCACGTAAAATTTGAGGCAGAAATTTTGGCTAGGACTATTCAAAGTTCACCCTTTGCTCATGTTCAGATATGTTTTGTTTTGTTTTCTCTCTCACCAGACGAGGAATCACTTTTCCAGCACAAGGGAGGAGTTGGAAGACCTGAAGAAGAGGATGAAGGAAGCCCCTCTAACCTGCAAGCTCCCCGGGCAGCCAACCATAGAGGGTTATCTCTACACTCAAGAGAAATGTAATGGCTCTTGAGTGCGCCGAGTGGGTTGCAGAAGTCAGGCCTCAGCTGTAGGTGTGCGGAGCCCACGAGCTCTGCTCAGCTGGGGCTGCTGTTCTGCTTTCCCATGAACTAGTGCTGGCTCCAAAGGCACCGCAGCTCCCTGCATGGTGGGGCGAAGCCTTCCTGGGTTGTGTGTCAGCAAGGAGGCAGCTGCCCTGTGTTTGCATTAGACGAGATTTGTTCCTGTGTTTTAGAGATGGAGAGACCAGAGCGCGGGCAGTTTGCACAGTGAATCTGCTGTCCTGCCCAGCGTCTCTGCCTTGTATAAGGCTTCATTTTCAGCCCACCTTTGTGTATACAGTGCCTGGATGATTGCAGTGCTGCTGTTTGTACTTCTTGCTTCATCCAGTGCCAGGAGTTTCCTTCGGGATGAAGTGCTGGGTGCCAAGTCTTCCCCAGCTATTTATCCTGGTGTAGCTAGTTCACTTCTGGGTAAATGCACGTTTTGTCCAGCAAGTCAGTGCTGTTGGCTCTGGAGAGGGGCTGTGGCTGTTCAGTCCCCGTGTTCTCTCCACGTCTCCTTTCTCCCCATTTTGGGAAAGATGACTAACCGTTGGTATCTGAGAATGCCCAAGTAATTAAGTTTTATATTAGATTCCAAGAGCGGATGCCCATGGCTGGCCTGTAGAGGAAAAAAGATCAAGTGTATCTTGCCTGTGGGTCAGCTATCTCGAGTCACTATATAGAGAACGAGTTCAACTCAGAAAAGCTCCTCAGGCCAAAATAAGTCAGAGAAGCTGTTCTTTGTCCTCCTGTCAAACTGCGGCATTTTGTGTCCTAAAAGTGGTGATTCTTGTACTGCTACTCCCAGTGCTGGGAGCTATTACAGCTGTTGTGTGGAGCTGAGCGTGGTTCTGCCCTTCAGTGTGAGAGATGCTCCTCTTCCCTGCACCCCTCACTCATTGCCACGTGCAGCACAGGCAGCCCATTCTTCTGGCTGCTTCACAGCTTGGCAAAGGAGATTGCTCTTTACATTATTTCGCTCATTACTTCCACATCTTCTGTACTGCGTGGCGCTCATGTAGCAGCTCCATCCTGCAGGGGCTCTGATGCCCTGTGCACATCAAGCCGGGTTTTAACCAATGCTGAGAGTCTGCTGATGGCAAAAGGTGTGTGGTTCTGTGCCAAGTCAAACCAGGTCAAATCCAGTCTCTCACAAATAGTGTCTGTAGCTTTACATGGCCACATAGACATGATTGCTCATGTGGGGATGAAAGCCTGTCGGAGGATAAAGCCAGACAACCTTATGAGCAGTTAATTCTGGGGTTATATATGCCTATGTATGTATACATATATTTGTGTGTCTGTTTATCTTATGCTTAAACAGAAAACACACATTGCCGTAATTTTAGATGACAAATGAATGTTGTGTGTTCCTGCATGCTAATGACTGGATTTCCTGCCTTTAGTTGGGTTTCCCCTGTGAATCATCAAGGAAAAGAATTATTCCTGACAAGTGCAACTTGAAAAAAATCACCCCGAAGTTATCAGCTGTAGTATTTCATACAATGTGATTCAGATAAGACAACAAAGAAAAGTGAAAATAAATCTTAGTGTGATATAAATATGCACTTCAGGGCGTATTGAAGATGCTGTTGTCTTTCCTGCCAGCTTTTCGCTGGTGGGAGAGGCAGAAGCTCCCTTGAAGCGGTGCTGGCCCCGGGGCTGCGCGGCGGCCGCGCTCCAACCGGCCTCTCGGCAGCAGCTTCTCTGGGGTGTCCACGTGGCTCCTTCCCCTCTGCAGGGCTGGGAGCAGCCAGAGCAAGGCAGGAGATGTCCCTGATTCCAGGGGACACTGCTGCTTATGGTGGCTCCCAGCTAGGTCCCCATCAGGATCAGACCCCATGTTTGGCGACGTGCAACCCCGCAGGCAGATCCAGCGCCCGCGCCGTGTGCTCTGGTCTAACTGATGCTCTGCCTCTGTTGACTCCAGCTTTCCTTGCATTTTGCAGGGGCACTGGGCATCTCCTGGGTGAAATATTACTGCCAATATGAAAAAGAGGCAAAAATGCTGCGGATGACCCCCATGGACCAGAAGCCTGGAGCTAAGCAAGTGAGTCAGCTTCGTGGAGGGATGTCTGCAAAGGTTGACGCTGCCATCGGTTTTCAACTTCACCCCTTCTCATTGTACAAGCACATGAAGTGCAAGTATCTCGTCTGCGGCACAGGCAGGGCACTGCCCTGGAGGACAGTGTACCTGGAGCAGCTCTGGTAGTGATGAGTGTCACCAGTGACCCGGGTGCTGCGTTGGCAGCCGCGGGTGCAGAAGGGCCCCAGCAGACACCTGGGTTTGCGTCCTGCTCTGCTGGTGCCACCATGGATGTCGTGGTCCTGTGAGAAGAGGCTTCGTCTCTGCCTGTTCCCAGGAGCTTCTGTTCCGCTGGACTCACCAGCGGGGATTCAGGGGCTGCCCGTGCCCGGGCCCAGGCTGCACTGACTGGCCCGTTTGGCCGAGCGCTTGTAAATTGTCCAACAAATTTCTGGCTTGAGACAAACTAAGCTGCGTGTTTCTCCCTGCAAATGAGTGGTGACCCTGCAGCCCGACTTACATGTGTAGCAACTCAGAGAGTCGTTGGGAGGACTGGGGTGCCTGGAGTTACTTAAATGCTTTCATTAGTGCCCTTGCCTGTTCCTACAGTCACTGGCTTGTGATTTTGGTTTCTGCTCTTCAGAATTATTTACTTGAAGTGGGAGCAGTATTAGCAAAGGAGGAGAGGGAAGAGGTTGCAGCTCTAAAATGTGCAGTAAAGCAATGATTTGGGGACCCATTTCTTTTACCAAGTGCTTTGCTTTTTACATCAGTGATTTATCTGAGAGTTCCTATTGTTCCTCAGTTTAATGGGAGAGGGGCAGGCTACAGGGTTAGATGACAGACTGTGGCTCAGAATACAGCAAGTGAGTCCAGCTGAGTCCACCCGTCCTCATCTCTGCCATGGAGCGACATCCCCTGGGGACTCCCAAGTCATGCACGCTCTTTTCCAACTTGTGATCTCATGAGCTGTGTTCTTTGGCAGCTCCTGCACATTGCAGCAATAAAATAAAATGTATTTTTTGGAAGCCCTTGGCAGAGTCCTTGGCAGAGCAGTATCCAGAACATTGGCTGAAGAGATCTCTTGTCATCTAATTTGTAAAGATTTCTAGTAAAGCAGGAGAATGCAGGTAGGAGCTTGTGAAAATAAAAGTCAGTATCTTTCCCAAACTTTTGCAATCTGATAATGTGCACCTTCAGGCCACAAATGGCCACTTAACAACTATAAGGAGTGCTCTTAAGGAGGGAACAAAACAAAGCAGAGCAGTCGGGAAAGGATCATGGCACGGTGCAAACTGGAGCTGCCAGTCGCCTGGCTGGTCTGTAGCAGCTCCTGGAGTGGCTGTTCAGTTTCTGCAAAGCAACAGAGAACTTAAAAACATGTTATAAATTGGCTGCTGTTCACCTTTGCTGTAAAGCAAAGGGCCATTAAAACAGAGGGCCAAACCTCAGCTGTGCAATGTGGGCACTTTTGTCAGCATATACCTACACTGCCCTTGGTCAGTTAACATTCTGCGGTTTGACAAAGTTTGGGCCGTGAATGCTGTGGATAATTGGTAGCACTGATTAATCCCAATAGAAATTAGGAACCAGCTGTGCCATAGACCAGCACGATCCTGGCCCCTGCTCTTGGAGAATAAGTGATTTCCAAAGGTTGATTTGAAGCGGTCCTCCTGCTCTGGGGAGGCACATTGCTTGTTGCTGAGATATTTAGCACTTGTTTGCAGGGTAATCCCATGATATCTAGAACATGTTGTTACTGCAGAGAGGAAGCCTGGTTTATAAGGCCTTTCCTGCCTGCCTAGTTGCAGCTGAGCTGAGCAGTGAGAACATCTGTGCTCTCCCTGCAAACACCCTCGGATTAGCAGGGCACGCAGAGTCCGGCCTCGGCATGGGCCGTGCTGGTGGGCAGCCTGAGAGACCTGAAACCAGCTTCCTCCTTTCTTCTCTCTAATCTTGGTTTTAATCTCCTTCTTTTCTAGGGCACCTTAGACTTGACGCTGAAATCCTGCGTAAGGAGAAAGACTGATTCAATAGACAAAAGGTTTTGTTTTGACATTGAAACTAATGAAAGGTGAGTCAGAAGGATACCTGCGGGACTGTAGAAACATCATGGTGTCCTAGGATGAGCCCCAGCTCACAACATCTGCCTTTAGACATCTCCCTGGGTTAGACTTTCACCTTAGCACATGTAAATGACGTTTCGCAGTGCCCTGTTCTCTCCGTGGGCTACCGATAGCCCACGGTGCTCAGAGGAAGGTGTGGGTGTTTGCACAGGGGAATCTAACTGCTGGATCTGAGCAGGGGGTGTCCCTGCGTGGGGGCAGCCGTGTTCATAGAATCATAGAATCATAGAATGCTTAGGGTTGGAAGGGACCTCTAGAGATCATCTAGTCCAACCCCCCTGCATACACAGAGACACCTAGAGCACGTGGCACAGGACTGCGTCCAAACGGGTTTTGAAGATCTCCAGAGAAGGAGACTCTACAACCTCTCTGGGCAGCCTGTTCCAGTGCTCTGTCACCCTCACTGTTAAGAAATTTTTCCTTAAGTTCCTATGGAATTTTTGATGTTTCAGTTTCCGGCCGCTGCTGGGTCAGCACCCGCTCCCCTCACTCCGCGGTGGCCTCTCTGCCCCAGGTTTTGTCCTGCCCTTCTGTCCCGGGAAAGCAGCAACAGCCTCCGAGGCCATGACGGGGCCTGCAGTGCCGCGGCGGGCGCTGGGTGGCACCCTGGGCCACGGATCTTCAGCCTTGCCTGTGTGTGCGGATAACTATTGGAAAGGCTCTCCCGCTGTGCTAGTTTTGCCTTCCAGACTAGCAGTGGGATTCTGTTCCCACTGAGTTTGGTCTTTTAGTTATTATGGGAGAGAGTAAGAGTCACCAGAGAATGAATATCCTTAAATATGTGCAAGGCAAAAGCCTTGCTATGTGCTGAAATCATGGAAAAGCAACAGGAGACAAGTTGTGGGTAATCAGACTCTATTATCAGCCCACGCAAATACTGTGTGGTCTCTCACTGCCTTGGAGACCCCACTGCTTCTGCAGTTTATCCTGTATTTTCTCCTTTCTTTCCTATACCGTTCTATGGTTCAGTGTTAGGGTATTTTTTACTGTGGACTAGCTGATTAAAATGATCTTGGATTTTTGAAAGTTATCTTCAAGCACTAGAAGTGGGATAGACTTAGAAGTGAGTTTCAGCACTAATGACATTAATTTGCAGTGTTTTGAATTACATAACCGTGCATCAGAACACGCCTTGTGCAGTGTCGTAGAGACACTTGCCTGTGTCACACTGGTGGCAGGAAGAGAAGGCTTAGCCTGCTGCTGCAACCCAGGACGCTCCAGATGTAGCAAGGGTCCCTGTGAGATGTGTGCTGGCCCCGCAGCTTGGTGTCTTCATGGTTTGCACTGGCCAAGCAGCTTGAATCTCTAGCCAGGTGCTTTACTCCAAGTGAGATCAGGTGGCAACACCAGTGCAGAGAACATAACTGTGTGGGCTGCGTTAGCAGGGGCCAGCATTCACCGTAACCCCAGCCTTAGCTCTCTCGTATCAGCCCTTTCTCTTACTATATTAGGTGCCCTCACCTGCTCCTGGGGTCTCTGGTCTGCAAATAAAGCAGCAGGGCCTGCTCTGGTTGGTCACGTTTAGTTGTCTCCAATGGTGCTGACACCAGTGGGGCCTGGGATGCAGCCGGATATACAGTGGCTCCATCTGCCCTGCACAGATGCCCTGCATTGTCTGTTTGAGTGGGCTGCACACGGAGGTGTCCCGAGGGGGATGCTGCGAGGGGTTGATCCCGTTACCAGGCCACACAACGGTGCTTTCTCTCGGCTTTATCTGTCACTCAGGAGCAGCATGCTGCTTAGGGGAATGGGAATTCCTCACGTGAGGTTGGAGAGGGCCCCGAGTGCTCGGAGCCAGCCCAGCTCCCTGCGCTGGGCGTTCAGCTGTGCAGGGGAGCCAGGTCGCCCCTTGCCTTCTGCTGAGCAGAGCAAGGCGGGGAGCGTGGGCACGATAGCTGGTTTGCCGGAGATGGCATGAAGGGTGGATTTATGGGGGTCTTTTGGCAAGAACAGAGTGTGAGCCCTCAGCCTTGCTTAGGGTTAAAACAGCCTCCAGAAAGGTGGAACCTGGGAACACTTTGCTCTCTGCCTGTTTGAAAATAACCTTTGCTTCATTTTCCTGTCTTGCCCTGGATGAACTCTGCGTAGATCCGGTACCATCACCCTGCAGGCACTTTCTGAAGCGAATCGAAGGCTGTGGATGGAAGCGATGGATGGAAAAGAGCCGGTGAGTACCCAGGGACATGTTACACATTCATGTTGTGCTGTCAGACACTGTCCTCTGCTGGTGGCTTTTGACAAAGGTGAATAACAATAATAACAACAATAATACCACCGCAGGTAGGCTCGTTTTTGCAGTTTTCCCCTTCACTGCTACTGCTTACCAGAGTTCAGGGCATTGCTTCAGCTAGCAAGCATCGGAAAGCTGCGCTTCAGGCCTGTCCGTCTTTGAGCTTTGGTCGGTTGCGCGTCGTCCTGATGACGACTGCAGCCAGCCTAAGGGCCGTGGTGGGAGTGGGTCGGGGAGCAGCCCCGCGCAGCCTCTGCGGAGCAGCCGGAGATGCCGCGGGCTGTGCGGAGCCGCTTTAGGTCGGGGGACGCGAGGCCCTCGCAGCCCTGTTGTGGCACTGAACGCAGGGAGTGAACCAGCAGTGCCCAGTGCTCGCTTAGGTAGCATCTGCGCTTGCATCAGCCGTTGTCATCCATAAAGGACTTGGATTTTTCAGTCAAGAGTGGCACCCCCCATTTATTATTAATAAAAGAACAAGAAGCCTTTGTAGCATTGGGTGAAGAAGGGGTTTTTTTGACGTTTTGTGTGCCTAGCTGTCCCACTTCCAGCTGCCATTTTTACCAGGCACCTCTAAAACTATCAGAGGTTCTCATTTAGCTTTTGGAAGAGCCCTTTGCTGGAAACAGGTACTCCAATTAAACTTAGGAAGCCAGCAGCCTCATTTGCAGTGCAGACAGTGATATCTTGTTGATATTAGAAGCTGGACGTTGCTTTACTGGCTGTGTGTGACTGGTGTTGGGTGATTTGTGAGGTGCTGCATTTTCTTTGGAAAGTAAATATCAAATCACATTACATTATGTTTTCATTTCTTTCTCCTCCATTCCCTTCCCTTTTTTTCAGATCTATCACAGTCCCATCACGAAGCAGGAGGAAAGTGAGTCCTTTAAGTTTTTGCTGCTCTAGTCTATCACTGCTGTAGTCGGTCTGTACCCCCGTCCTCGGCCCCGCTGTGTGGGCGCGTGTTCCCTCTGCGTTGCTGGCAGGGAGCTGCAGACACCGCTGAAACCTCGAGCATGTCCTGGGTCGCCGTCTGGGCCGCAAAAGGCAGCTGGGCGCCTCGTGGGGTCACCCAGAGCAACCTGGCAAGGACGAGCTGCCTGAGCAGGCGTGAGAGACCTTATCCTAAAACCTCCCTCCTCAGCATCTAGGAAAAAGCGAGTCATGGCTTTTAAACCAGAGACCCTCGAGACTGACGTCCTTGCAGGTCCTTCTTGAACAAGGGCTGGTGGTGACAAGGTGACTTGTTTCTTTTTTTATTGCAGTCTCTGATACTGAGGCCAGATAAGAAGGAGCTGTGGAAGTTACTGATTGTTATGTGCAGCTCCTAGGCAGCAAAAACAGGCAAATGCAACGTTAAATTCTCAGCTAAACACCAAAATAGCAAAGGGGAAAACAGATCAGGTGATTCTGAGGAGATTTTGCATATCAAACATTAAAATAAAGGAGAGGTGGCATTTGGTTCCCAAGAGCTCTACGTTGCACCCTGCGGCACCCCTGCCAGCTCCCCCGGGTG